TGGGTGTGTGTGTGTGTTTGTGTGTTTGTGTGCGCGCTTGCCCCAACCCCCCCCCCACACACACACTCAGAGTAGGGCCCATCCCCTCCAACAGGGGGCGACAGGGAAACACACATACACACCCTGCAATCCCAGCTGGCGATCCCATAACCCCCCCTGCCTATAGCCCGACTCCCACCCCAAACCACTGAGTGTGCCAGGAGACTCTGGGAAGGGATGTGAGAGGCCTGCTGGGGCCCATGTGGGTCAGGGTTGGGGGTCAGGCCCCTGGGGGAACAGGGGACACTTACCAGGGTCTGCGGCTCTTTCCCTTCGTCCATGGAGGCATCTGCAGAACAGAGACACCGGCTGAGCTGCACCCCCGGCCGGCCCAAAGCAGAACCCCACACCCAGCTCTGACCCCTCTGTCCAGGCAGTGGGGTCAGAGCCCGGCACAACCACCCCCCCCATCGACCCTACAGCATGGGCCAGGGTCATTAGCCCCATGTTACAGAGAGGAAAACGGAGGCACAGAGACGATGGCAGAGTCTAGGGTGTTACGGTAGAGTGGGAGAGGGGCTGGGAGTCAGGATGCCTGGGTTCTCTCCCCGGCTCTGGGTGGGGAGTGGGGTCTAGAGGTTAGAGCAGGGGGCTGGGAGCCAGGAGTGGATGGGGATTCCCTGTAGGTCACTGGAGAATCCCATGGAGAAGTGAAGGGGGGGACACAAAACCCCCCAGGCCTGGGGGGAAGAATGGGGGGCAGACAGAGGGAGACCATGGACTAGAGGGGGAGGGGAGCCCCCAAAAGCCCCTCCCTTCCCCAGGGGTCCTGCCCCACTCTGGTACCCCCTTGGGTGTTTTACTCACAGATGTTGTCTTGCTGAGCCGGGGCCTTCAACACCCCCAAAGGGCTGGCATTAAAAGAGAGAAAATCCCTTTATAAATCTCATATCCCCCCACCCGTAGGGACATTCCCCAACACAGCCAGAGAGCCCCCCATCCTGCCTCACACTGAACCCTGTTCCCTAATTCAACCTTGCCCCAACCACTAGACCCCACTCTCCTCCCAGACCAGGGAGAGAAGCCAGGAGTCCCGGCTTCCAGCCACCCTGTTCTAACCACTAGACCGAAACTCCCCTCCCCGAGGTGGGACAGAACCCAGGAGCTCTGTGACCCCGGCAGGTCGTTCGGGAGGGGGAGGAGCCGGGTTCCTACCTGCTCGGTCTCGGTGCGGCTCCTTTTCCTGCAGAGGGACACAAACCAGAATCCCCCATGAGCCGATCGGGATCCCCCGGTCCCAGCGCCCAGCCACTCACCCCCACAGGGCAGCAGGGATGGGGGATCTGGGGGTCTCCCCTCTGCTGCTGGTGCTGAGGCTTGATCCCGGCTGGGCTGGGCTGGACCAGCAGGGGGCAGCACAACACCAGAGCATGCACCGGGGGAGGGGCAGATTAACTCGGGGGCTTTTCCTGTCCCCAATCCTCCCTCGTTAGCGACTTGTTAAAACGAACCTGATCCAGGCCAGTCGGCTCCTCTGTCACCCGAGGTACCTGAGAAGCTCTTTATACAGGGACCCGTGGCCCGGCACTGAGACGCAGCCACCTCTGGGGTGGGACAGGTGCGTGTGTACAGGGATTACACATGCAACAGTGTCCTCTGCTGAGCCTCCACCCCACTCCTTGACTTTCCCGGCACAGTCCCCCATCCCAGCCGTGACCCCATCCCGCCCGGCTTAGCGGCAGGTTTAACCCTTCCCTTGCTGGGCGGGGCACTCACTGGCTCGGGTTTTTCTGAAGCAGACGAAGGCCACGAGGAGGAGGAGGAGGACGGCGGCTGCTGCGCTAACCCCGGCGATGATGGGGCTGGTCTGACCCGGAGGTGCCGGCGATTCTGATCCGCCTGGGATACAGCAGAAGCCTGAGAGCCGGGAGCGGCTGGTCTGTTCTCTCCCCAGCCCCTCCCACCCCAGGTGGCGCCCAAGGGCAGCACAAAATTCTATGGGGAGGATGTTGGGGGCCCTGAGGAATCAAGTGGGGTCAGAGCCAGCAATATTTGGTATTAAGAAATGCATAGGGGAAACTGAGGCACCCACACAGTATTCAGAGGAAACATGAAGAACAGTCCCACTTCGTCACACCCTGTAACTGATGTGTTGCCTGGGAAAAGCCCCGCTACTCTGCAGCTCCCCCTGAGGACAGGGATCCCCCCTTCCTCTGCCCCAAATCTCCAATGGCTGCTTCTCCCCCCTGGCTGGGGAACCCCCCACTGACTCCGTCCCTCCTCCCTGGATGGGTGTCCACTCTGCTGGGCCAAGGGTCTGGCTGGGTATGGGGCTGGGAGCGGGGAGGCTGAGCCGGGCCCCTCACCTGCTACCACCAGCTCCATGGGGTCGCTGGGTTCCGACCAGGTGTCCAGATCCGAGTTGGAGGGATAATAGCAGGTGTTGCTGCCTCCATCTGCCCGGCTCACTTTGGGGATGGGAAATTTGACCCCAGCCGAGTCCCTGCCCAGCGCTGCTGCGTTCCTGTCCCCAGCCTTGTACAGAACAAACTCCAGACCCCGGCACTGACCCCGACACCAGACGGTCGCGGCTCCCCCAGGGCGACCTGCCCGCTGGGGCTCCGGGAGATGGAGGGTTTGGGGGAGCTGAGCTCTGCAGTGCGAGTGACATGGGGCGTGAGACAGACCCCAGCACAGCCACTGCGCACTGTCCTGGCATGGAGCATCAGCAACGGGGCAGAGACAGTCTGAGTTCTCCCCTAGGATCGAGAGCACCAAGGCACCACAGGGCCAAGATATCCCCCCTCCACCCGACCTTCAGTGGTTGGGCTGGACGTCCCATCTGCTGGGCATCAGGGCTCACGGAGACCCCCTGGGCCCTGGCTGGGTGTGGGGCTGGGAGCCGAGATTCCGGGCTGGGCCCCTCACCTGCTACAATGATCTGCACAGGGTCGCTGGGCTTCGAGTAGGTAACTGGTCCTGTTATGTTGCTATAGCGACAGGTGTAGTTGCCACCGTGTTCCCGTCTGGCGCTGGTGATTGGAAATTGAGCCTCAGAGCCAGCAGCGTCTGTGTAGTTCAGATAGTTCTTAACTCCAGCCTTGTAGAGGAGGAACCTCATGCCCAGGTGCTGATGCCGACACCGGATGGTGACGTTTCCCCCCACAGGGATCACCCCACCGGGGCTGACGGAGATGGAGGGTTTGGGGAGGGACCCCTCTGGATGCACAAACAAACAGGCAGTAAGTGGGGGTGACACAAACCGCGTCCATCTGATTCAATCCTCTGCCCATGTGTCGCTCTAGCGTTTTACCCTCCGTCCGTCCCTGGGGTGCAGGCCCGGCCCCGCGGCTCCCAGCCGGGGTGAGACACAGCAGGGCGGAAAGGAGATTTTCCAATCTCAGATTCCTTCAGTTCTCCAGCATCAATTCAGCCCTGCCCCTATTGCACTCAGGGGTGTCTCCGGATTGACCCCAGAAGGCTGAGATCAGAACCCAGCCCTGCCCCCACTTCAGTTGGGGGTGTATTGGGATCTACCCTGGAGAGGTTTGTGGGAAAAATCGGAGTCTTTTGAGAAAGCGGCTTCCAGGACAGGCCCCGGGATTACTGCCAGCTCCCCAGGCACAGTTCGGGGGCGCTGTGGGGTGGCTGGTGCCTCACTCTGTATTTCCTGGGGGGCAGAGCTTTGAGTGCAGGTGAATTCACCCTGTGTGGTGCCCATCCCTGTAATGAGTGGGGGGAGGTCTCAGTCCCCGCCTCTGGGTGTGGGAGGAAGCACAGGTCTGACAGGATCATCCCTTTGGGGGATCTGCACCCCTCAACCTCCACCTATGTCCCTTATCCTTAATGTGGAAATTCCCCCAGCTGCCCCATTCCCCACAGATACTCACGTTCCAACATCCCGCTCCGCAAAGCCAGCCAGCAGCCTGGAAAGGAGACAGGTCATTAGGGACCAGATCCCAGAGCAACTGGATCCTACACCCTGGTGTCAGATACTGCCCCCATGGTCACAAACCCTGGTCTCAGATCCACCCCTATGTTCACATGCCATGGCTCTCTCAGATACTCACCGAGGAAGAGGATGGTGAGAGCAGACGCCATGACGGGGCAGTGGGGGACCCCTCAGCTCTGCCACCAACACCCCGGTGCCGAGCTCCCCCAAGCCCTGAGGCCCGAGTGTGAGCGGAATGAGGAACTGCACGGGGGCTGCAGCCCCAGGAAGCCCATGATGTGTTCGGCCCCTTTCCTCCCCATCAGGTGGTTTCTCTGCAATCTCCAGCCCAAATCTACTGTGGTCAGAGCAAAGCCAGCTCCCTGCAACACCCAGCAAACCACATCCCCTCCTGCAGCTGCCTGGTCCCCCCCGTGCCCCCCATCACTCCCAGCCCCACATGGGAGCTGCCCAGTCCAGGGATCAGCTGGGAACGGGGGAATCTCAGGCATCAAGAGGTGCCCAGGCTGCCCTGACCTTTTCCAACAGGCCTATCTAGCCTCCCTGGAGCAGCAGCTCAGAGGAGGCCCCCCCACACACAAAGTGTCCCCCACGGAGCAGCCCTCTCCCATGGAGCAGGGCAGAGATTCCTTCCTGACCCGGCTGGGCCCAGTACCTGCCCTGGAGCATGAGGGTGGAGGCACCTGGCCAACCTCCTTCCCAGGTAGTGTCACTGTAGACACGGTTCTTATCTGAGTGATGTGGCACAGAGATAGGACGGTGGGCTTGGAGAGTGGTGGTTTCTGGCTCCCGTTAGGGGCGAGAGACTGGAAAATGTAGATCCTGAGTTGTTAAAGCAACAGCCGTTAAATCCACGAAAGGGAAAGTCTGCCCAGAGCCGGCGCAATCTTTCTGTTTCTGCTACTGCCAGTGAAACTCTGTGTAAACCTGATGCCCGGCACCTACCCTGTTATATACCCAGTTCTGGGAGGGGAGTGGGGTCTAGTGATTCGGGGGGAGGGACTGGGAGCCAGGACTCCTGGGTTGTTTCCCTGGCTCTGGTTGGATCCCAGGGGGTGGGGTCTAGTGGTTAGAGAAAAGGACACAGATTAGAGCCAGCCCCCTAGATGTGAAAAGCCCCGTGTCCCCTACCCAGCCCATCCCCAGGGCAGCAGGTCTGCGCAGCTCAGGGCCCTGGGTAGAGCTCACCTCAGGATGCTGTGAAAGAGACATGCAGGGGGGAGCTGACCAGCCCCACAGAAAGGGGAGGGGACAAGAACATGAGGACAGAGCTCAAGAGAAATTGGCCCCCCCGTCAGATGCTCCAGCTCTGGCTCCCCAGTTTGTTTGCCCTTCACCCACACCCCCAATGTTGACACATTGGGCCCCTCAGCCCCCCATTCTGACCCCTGGATTAAGCCCCCTCCCCAGTATCCTCATGACTCCCTCCCCCCATTCAGGTCCCCATCCCCCCAGTTCTGCCCCCCATCCTGTGTCCCTTCATCCCCTGTCGTATCCCCTCATGTCCCATGTCCCCTCCCCTGTTCTGCCCTTATTCCCTATCTCCTCACATCCCCCAGACCTCCCCTTTTCCCCCCATCCTGTACCCCTATACCCCTCCTGTTCTGCCCACAGCCCCTGGCCCCTTGGGTGCTCTGCGGCTGGAGCACCCACAGGGAAAAATTAGTGGGTGCTCTGCACCCACCGACAGCCAAACTCCTCTCACCCCCCTTTCTCCCCCGCACTGAGCGTGCCATGTCCCCGCTCCTCCGCCTACCTCCCAGTGTTTCCCGCCTGGTCGCTGCCAAACAGCTGTTTGGCGGCATTAGCACAGTCCGGGAGGGACGGGGAAGAGCGGGAACATGCTGCGCTCAGGGGAGTAGGCAGAGCTGGGGTGGGGATTTTGGGGAAGGGGTTGGAAGAGGCAGGGCAGGGGCAGGGCCTCATGGAAGGGATGGAGTGGGGGCAGGGCCGGGGGCAGGCGGGGGGTCGAGCACCCATGGGAAAGCGGGGAAGGTGGCGACTATGCTTATGGCCCCCCACTAGCCAAAGCTGCCATCTCCCATTGCTCCCCAAGGGAAGGAAGCCCCTGGCTGCCCTCAGTTAACATGGCCCTGCCCTCTCCCCCTGCAGCCCTCACAGGGCGGCCATGCTGCCCCCTGGCTAAGATGGCCGACGCCTGAGCCTGGTGGTGGGGACAAGATTCCTCCTGTACTGGTGTGGTGGGTCGATGGCTGCACGGAAATGAGCCCCACAGCTTCTCTGACTCTAGACTGAACCCAAGCCTGTGTCCCCCCAACTCCCATCCCTTGATCCTGCCCCGCGGCCATGTGTGATGAAGTGGGGTGTTTTCTTCATCTTTCCTTGTTTTTCCAATGGTTTGCATGCAGAGGGGATGTGACTCAGTTTCCCTGGGTGTTACCGGTTTAACAAGGTGATGGGAGAAGGAGTTTGTTGGTACAGAGGACCAGCGAGGGAGCTTGGGACCCCAGCTAATGGCCTGGAGGATGGATACCCCAGCGACTGGTGACATGGTGACCTGGAGACCCAGCTCAGGAGTCACAGCTGGTTCTGGCCAGTGGGAGGACAATGGGCTGTGAAGAGAGGACCCCGGTGACCTGACCAGCTGGTTCCAGCCAGAGGGGTACAGAGGCCAGCTGAGAGGAGAGGAGGCCCAGGTGACCCTGTTTACCTGGAGAGAAGACAATGGACAGAGGTGTGGTTTGGGGCCAGTGATATCAGATGCCCAGCTGGGAAGCACGGAGGGCTCAGGACTGGAGAGAGGGAGCAGGTAGAGCCCACCTGAATGCAGGGGAGACTTGGATGTGCTGGGCTGAGGGCCCGGAGAGTTTCCTATGCTGGGTTCAGAAGCTCAATAAACCCTCCTGTTTTACACTCGCTGAGAGTCACTCCGGTCTAGAGAACACGGTTGCATTATTCCCTCTGGGAGTGGAGGCCCCGGGGGTCCAGAGCGAGTGGACTCCCTGAGGCGGCTCACGGCAGAGACAGGTGTGCTAAGACTCAGAGAGGAGCGGCTGCAGGAAGCGGAGGGACTTAACCTACGAGAGAGAGTGGACCCCCAAGAAGGGCTGTCTCACTGAAGGGGGTTCCCCCCAGGGACTGTACGGGGCCAAGAGTGGGCATGGCCTGTGAGTCCAGGTCAGGCCCCACTACCCCACTGCTGCACTAGGGGGTGCTATGCTGCAGGCAGCAGGAGGAGGGGCTCAGTAGAGGGGTGCTTTCCCCAGGCAGTCAGCGCTGGCCCTGATACCCCAGTGCACTGCTAGGGGGCGCTGTGCTGCAGGGAGTGGACGCAGAGGTCACTAGGGGGCGCTCTCCCCTGGCCATCAGGGCTGGCCCCAGTGCTAAGCAAAGTTCCAGTTACTCCTGCAGAGAGAAATCCTACAAAAACCTGTGCAAGAATTACAGCCGTAGCCATCTTCACATCCCCACCAGTGTTCTCGGCTGCGATGGACCTCTCAATAGACAAGCATCGCTAGTGGGATGGTTCCTGCTGGGGTTTCCCTTGGGTCTGCCCTCTTTGATATTGTAGTTCTGACCACACCTAACACATAAGAATGGCCAGCCTGGGTCAGACCAAAGTTCCATCTAGCCCAGTATTGTGTCTTCCGACAGTGACCAATGCCAAGTGCCCCAGAGGGAATGAACAGAACAGGTAATCAGCGAGTGATCCATCCCCTGTCGTCCTCCCAACAAACTGAGGCTGGGGACACCATCCCTGCCCATCCTGGCTAATAGCCATTGATTGACCTATTCTCCATTAATTTATCTAGTTCTTTTTTGAATCCTGTTATAATCTTGGCTTTCACAACATCCTCTGGCAAGGAGTTCCACAGGCTGACTGTGTGTTGGGTGAAGAAATACTTCCTGTTGTTTGTTTTAAACCTGCTGACTATTAATTTCATTGGTTCTTGTGTTATGAGAAGGAGTAAACAACACTGCCTTCTTTACTTTCTCCACACCAGTCATGATTTTATAGATCTCCATAATATCCCCCCTTAGTTGTCTCATTTCCAAACTGAAAAGTCCCAGTCTTATTTATCTCTCCTCATATGGCAGCCGTTCCATACCCCTAATAATTTTTTTGCCCTTTTCTGAACCTTTTCCAATTCCAATATGTCTTTTTTGAGATGGGGCGACCACATATGAACGCAGTATTCAAGATGTGGGTGTACCATGGGTTTATACAGAGGCAGTATGATATTTTGTTTTGTTATCCAATCCTTGCTTAATGATTCCCAACCTTCTGTTCGCTTTTTAGGCTGCAGCTGCACAGAGTGGATGTTTTCAGAGAACTCTCCACAATGGCTCCAAGATCTCTTTCTTGCATAGTAACAGCCAATTGAGACCCCATCATTTTATAGGTCTGGTTGGGATGATGTTTTCCAATGTGCATTGTTTTGCATTAGTCAACACTGAATTTCATCTGCTATTGTGTTGCCCAGTCCCCCAGTTTGGTGAGATCCCTTTGTAGCTCTTTGCAGTCTACCTGGAACTGAACTATCTAGAGTAGTTTTGTATTATCTGCAAATTTTACCATCTCAATGTTCATGCATGAAGGTGTGTCACGGACTCACAGGCCCCCCCATGCTCTCTCGGCTCCATAGAGTCCCCAGGAAGAACTCCCTTCAGTCTGACAGGGGTCCTGTCTCTCTTGGGGGCTAAGCCCGGGGTCCCACCATCTCCTGGAACTGCACCTCTGAGTCTCCAGCCCACCTGGCTCCCTCTGGGAGCCCCCTCAGGGGGTTCCCTTGCTCTGGCCCCATGGAGCCACCATCACCAGAGGGAGTGATGCTGCCAATCTCCAGCCTGCAGGGACTCTCAGCCAGCGTAAAACAGGAGGGTTTATTGTATGACCAAACCCAGCCCAGGAAGTTCTCAGGGGCTGAGGTCTGGGCAGTCTCAGCACCTTGAAGCTGGGTCTGTCCAAGTCCAGGTGAGGCCAGACCCCTCTTTGTCCCCAGTCCAGAAGCGACTCCCTTCCAGCTGACCCCCCATATCACCTTCCCCAACCCCCCTGCTCCGCCCTTTGTTTTCCTTCCAGGCAAACAGATCACCGGGGCCTTCGCTCTTCTATCCTTTGTCCACCCACTGGCCAGAACTGGCCAGCTTCCAAGATGGGCTGGTCCTCCGATCACTGGTTGCTAAGTTCTACCATATTCAGGCCATTGTCCGGCATCCAGGCTGCTAGGCAAGGTCACACCTGGTCCTCTCCCCAGTCCCGAGCCCCCGTGCTTCACATCTGGGCAACTGATATCACATTCCCCAAGTCCTGCCTCTGTCCCTTGTCTTCTCTCCAGGTAAACAGGGTCATCTGGCCTCCTCTCCCCTCTTCTGTTCTCTGGCCCCTTCTGGCTGGA